CACCACACCTGGTATTTTTGTATTTTTAGTACAGACGGGGTTTCACCATGTTGGCCAGGCTGGTCTCGAACTCTTGGCCTCAAGTAATCTGCCTGCCTCAGCCTCCCAAAGTGCTGGAATTACAGGTGTGAGTCACCATGCCCAGCCAACATCGGCTTTTCCATTGATATATTAGTTAACAGACCTGAGCAGGGGTTCTGATAAATTTGCTCTGCAAATCTGACATGAGCATGCCCAGTCTGAGCATTCTTTTCAGCAAATATGGAACAAAGAGGTGGTTTTCCTAAGCTTTGTGTCACCATCTTACAAGGACTGGAACTCTTCTGAAGTCTTAATAAAAAGACCAGTCCCAGGCCAGGTGCAGTGGCTCATGCCCGTCATCCCAGCACTTTGGGAGGCTGAGATGGGCAGATCACCTCAGGTCAGGAGGTTAAGACCAGCCTGACCAACATGGAGAAACCCCATCTCTACTAAAAATATAAAATTAGCTGGGCATGGTGGTGCATGCCTATTATCCCAGCCACTCGGGAGGCTGAGGCAGGAGAATCGCTTGAACCCAGGAGGCAGAGAGGTTGTGGTGAGCCAAGATGGTGCCACTGAACTCCAGACTGGGCAACAAGAGCGAAACTTCATCTCAAAAACAAACAAACAAACAAACCAGTCCCTAGTGGTACATACAACTGAAAAGTAAATTCCAAAACATGTTATAACCAGGATGCAATCATTCCCAAGATGACTGGACCCTAGACACCTGACAGAGCTGAAGGAGTATGGCCACATGATCTGAAGATGGCCACGTGGCAGGTGACAGGAGAGTGTGCAGGTAAGTGGGTGTGTCAGGGAAGTTGGATAGGACCCAGCAAGGGGTCACAAGAGGAAAATGGAGAGGCCCCAGCAAGGGTGGACGATGCAGCGTCAGTGTTCCCTGTCTTCAATCAATGAGTGTGGGGCAAGAAGATACACATCTGATGCCAGGAGATCTGGAGATCTGACTTCCGGCAACAGACGGCTGGGATTCAGGTATCTACACTGGGTTCTCCAGACATTAGGTAGGATTTTCAGCAGAGATGGGGACTAGACATAGGAACTGGGTTACTTGGTTTCAGGTACAGAAGTTCTAATATGGGGGTCAGTCTACAGTTAATAAAGGAGCTACAGTTTTAAGGCAAGAAGGAAAAAAGGAGAAAAAGGCAGTAAGATTAGTTAATCATGTACTAAGTGCCAAGCACTTTGATTTTTTATTATTTCACTTATACTTCATGCTAGCACTAGGAAGCCATTATAACAAGGATGGTTAATCCCATTTGAGAGAAAACGGGTCCAATCTCAAAACTTACTATAAAGTTACAGTAATCAAGACAGTGTGGCCTGGTATAAAGATAGAACTATATCAATGGAATAAAATTGAGAGCCCAGAAATAAACCTTCACGCACATGGCAAACTGATTTTTGACAAGGGTTCCAACAGCATTTAGTGGGGGAATGAACAGGCTCTTCAACAAATGGTACTGGGAAAAACTGGATATCCACATTCAGAAGAATAAAGTTGAACCTCTACTTCATACCAAACATAAAAATTAACTCAAAATGGATCAAAGACTCAAAGGTAAGGGCGAAAACTATGAAGCTTTTAGAAGGCAACATAAATGTAAATCTGTGTGGCTTTGGATTAGGCAAGCACGAAATGACATCAAAAGCATTTGGAAACAAACAAACAAACAGACAGACAAGTTAGACTTTACCAAAATAAAAAACTTTTGTGCATCAAATATACTATATCAAGAAATGAAAAGACAACCTATGGGAATGGGAAAAACATGTTCAAACATGTTATTATATATCTAATAAGGATTTAGAATCTACATTATATGGCTGGGTGCAGTGGCTCATGCCTGTAATCCCAGCATTTTGGGAAGCCGAGGTGGGTGGATGGCTTGAGTCCAGGAGTTTGAGACCAGCCTGGGCAACATGACAAAATCTCATTTCTATAAAAAATGAAAAATCAGCCAGGCATGGTGGTGCATGCCTATAGTCCCAGCTACTTGGGAGGCTGAGGCAGGAGGATTGTTTGAGCCCAGGATGCAGAGGCTACAGTGAGCCAAGATCACACCATTGCAGTCCAGTGAGAGCCTATCTCAAAAAAAAAAAAAAAAAGGAATCTACATTATACAAGAATCCTTTAAACTTGAAAATAAAAAGATTAAAAATCCAGTTAAAAAGTGGGCGAAGGATATGAAAAAACGTTCCTTCAAAGAAGATACACAAATGGCCAACAAGCACATGAAAAGATGTTCAACATCGTTAGTCTTTGGGCAAATGCAAGTTGAAACCACAATGAGATACCATTTCACACTCACTAGATAGCTATAATAAACACACAGAGATACATAACAAATAACAAGTGATGGTGGGGATATGGAGAAACTGGAGCCCTCAAACACTGCTGGTGGAAATGTAAAATATGGTACAGCCATACAACGGTCATATTATTAAGTCACAAAAAGAGATAAACTAGTTACTTGTGACAACACGGATGAACCTTGAAGGCATCATGCTAAGCGAAAGAAGCCAGACACCAAAGTCCACATACTGTATAAATCCATTCATATCAAATAGCCAAAACAGGTAAATCTATAGTAACAGAAAGTATTATTATTATTATTTTGTTTTTT